CTGTAGTACAAATCCTTCATGAAGGAGAGACCTATGTCCAGCAGGGATATTCATATTTACCTGTTCAATAAGGTGGATAGGTGCCACCTACTATATATAATGAAACCAACAGTATTTAGAATGTCTAATAAAAATCCTTACTTTACTAGAAAAATACCTTATATGACATTTGGAGATGGATAGTATTTTTTTTACACTTTTTAATTATTTTTTTCCCAGGCAACTCGATATAATTATACATCTGAAGAAAAATTCGCCATGATTGAAGTCATAGCCATGATCAAGGGCCTGCAAGTTCTCATGGCTCGAATGGAGACGGTGTTCGCTGATGCTGCCAGGAGGTCCATATATGCGGAGCTCCAGGACTTTGTTCAGCTCGTACTGAGGGAACCGCTTCGGAAGGCCATTAAGAACAAGAAGGATCTTATAAGAAGGTAATTATTTTTAACAACCACCCTTGTATCTTCAAAGGAAGAGTTATACTATGACATATATAGCTCGTCTTGTGTAGTGTGACTGGAGGCCCATACCCTTCGCCCCCATTATTCTTGAGAGAAGAGACTCTCAAAGCCAAATCACAGTTGTGTTTGCCATCTATTCGCTAACCATTTAAATGTATCTAAGTTTTGCAAACTAGTTACATAGTTTTTGTTATTTTGTAGTATTGTAGTGTCAGTTCGTGAGACATGCGGTGACTGGGCGCGAGGCTGTGAGCCCCAACAGGATCCAGCTCTTCGTGGAAAGAAGGATGGGGAGGCCAGCTTTACCATCAAAGTGCCTAGGAGGAACGTAGGTAAGTGGGAAAGGACGACCAAAAAAATATATTAACCGATTTCCAAAAAAAAAGGAGTTTAATAATTCGTTTTTATTTTTTTTATGTTTGTAACGTCAGAATTCAATTGCATATTTGTATTTTTTTAAATTAATTAAAGTAATTTAAAGAAAACGTACCACCAACCATAGAACTGGTGTGGTGACGGATTAAGAATACAGAGTCTCACCACCCCTATTCATCCCGTGGGTGTCGTAAGAACCGACTAAGGGAAAATAAATAATTACTCAGAACCACATCACTGCAGAGAGAAGGAAAACTTGACACAAACCCTATACCAACCCTTCTGGCCAGCATGGTATAGTAGGCCAAAACCTCCTTTCTAAGGAGAGGTCTATGTCCAGCAGTGGACTATTAAAGGCTGTTGATGATAATAATTCGGTTTTGTTCTTTATGTTTGTTACGTCAGAACTCCATTGTTTATGAATCGATTTGTATTTTTTTTGAAGTGATAACTTCTTTAGGCGCCTTGGCCATTTTGAACAACAAACAAAAGAATATATTTTATTGGAAAACAACATTGAACTCGCGACACTATTACCGTTACTGACACCTCTGTTGAAGTGAAAACTACAGGCCTAACCTGTTGGGCATTTTTTGAGATGGGAAAAACAATTGCACTCGCGACACTGTTACCGTTACCGACACCTCTGTATATAAGTTTTTACTTCTGTGGGCGGGAGTGCCACTGTTTTTTTTTTATTTGGAGGAGTACACTTCAAATTTGAAAAAAAAAGTATAGTTTATTATGATTCATCATTATATATGCGCATTTAAGTTTTTAAAAAGTTAATTATTATCACAGGTCCATCATCCACCCAACTATACATGGTGCGCACTCAGCTCGAAGCTCTTATCTCCGATAAGTCTGGAGGGAGGAGAACTCTTCGTAAGGACCTGGACGCTGGACCCTGCAGCAGATAGAGACTTTCCATAGGCAGAGCTTCTATTGGGGCTACCTCTTGAACTTATCAGGTATGGTTTCTTTTAGGGGGCAAACGAGCACACGGGTGTGCTGATGGTAAGTGATCAGCGCCTCCCATGGACATCTGCAACTCAAGAGCTACCTCTCCCTCACAGGCGGGAGACTCCACTCACTTGGTGAAATGCAACAAAACAAATTGTTTAACACCGGTTTGCTGTGAGGTCGTGGTGTCATCCTCTGGTTTCGCAATCAGGATCATTAAATACTAAACCAACAACAATCATCATCAACAGATGACTTGACTTTGACTAACACGGATGGCGTATTGGTTTAAGCGGTCGCCACGTCGCTTAATACCACGCTGAGTGTTGTGGGTCCGATCCCCACATGGGACGACACTTGATCCACAAATTGTTGTTCCGAGTCTGGGCGTTCTTTGTGTCCGTTTCGTTATGTTTCTAAAGTTCCCCGCGACACAGGATATATTCCTAATGCGGGAGTTGACAACAAGCAGCAGGACAGCATTGCATTGAGTTGACAACAGCACTGCAAAGAGAAGGAAAACTTGACACAAACCCTATACCAACCCGTCTGGCTAGCGTGGTATAGTAGACCAAAACCTCCTTTCTAAGGAGAGGCTTATGTCTAGCAGTGGACTATTAAAGGCTGTTGATGTGATGTGATGACATCTTTTTACTCTTTTTTATAACTGTTGCAATAATAAAAGCAGCAGTGGTGTGATAGTTACTATATTTATTCTTGGTGAATATTTTACACACAAGTGATAATGTACAGAATATAAACAACACAGTAAACAAGCTTATTTTAAACTAGCTGAGACCCGCGGTGTTATCCGCATTTGTTGTTATAACCGCGGGCAACGCCGCGGGGCGAAGCTAGTCTAAAAAGAAGCCTAAGTTACTCCTTATGTCATCAGCTATCTGCCAGTGAAAGTCCCGTTGAAATCGGTCCAGCCGTTCCAGAGATTACCCGGAACAAACAGACAGACAGACAAAAATTAAAAAAAAATGATATTTTGGCATATGTACTGTGTAAACATACATATGCATTTAGTGAAAAGCGGTTATTTTAATATTACAAACAGACACTCCAATTTTATTTATTTGTATAGATTATTTATTTGTATAGGTATTTTTACCCTTTTTTTTTTCCGTGCGGAAATCCCCTCGGATACAACCTATCGGTGGCATGTCGGACTCGAACCGATGATGATAATTATGAAATAATATATATATATGTGTGTGCCCACTTAACACCACATAATAAACAATCTGACTACGGACTGTTGCTCCACTGACAAGTTGTTTTAAATAAGTTTGCGTTCATTAAAGCTAATGAAGGCAAAGCTATATGAAATCATATATCCATACTTCCATACTGGTAGGGCGGGCGAGGTTACCATAGTACAGGCTCTGCATAGTTTGGGATCAGACAGCCGTGTGTGAGATTATTATTATTTTTATACTAATATTATAAACGCGAAAGTGTGTGTGTCTGTTACTCTCACGCCTTAACCCCTGAACTGATTTAGATGAAATTTCATATGGAGATACTTTGATTCTTGAGGAGACACATATGCTACTTTTTAGCGACATTTACGCGGGCGGAGCCGCGGCCAAAAGCCAGTGGTTATATATAAGTACTAGCTGACCCGCGCAACTTCGTCTGCGTCTCTCAATAGTAATAAATTTTCTCCGTTTTTGAAACATTCTTCATTGGCGCTTCGCTCCTATTGGTCTTAGCGTGATGATATATAGCCTATAGCCTTCCTCGATAAATGGGCTATCTAACACTGAAAGAATTTTTCAAATCGGACCAGTAGTTCCTGAGGTTAGCGCGTTCAAACAAACAAACATACAAACTCTTCAGCTTTATAATATTACTATAGATGGCTATATGGTTACCTAAATACATACATACACTCCTACACTCCTACCTACCCCCTACCGCCACCTACTGAATTGAAAGGAAAGGTAGAATGGAAGAAAAGGGAATGTTAGAAAATGAATACCTAAACTAACTGAATTATAGAAAGAAAAAATAAAAGAAAAAATGCGATTTTAACGCTCTTTTCTTAAAGATTTGAAAGTCGTATTGGTCCGGAATACCGCAGACGATAACAAGTTATCACCAATGAAAATAGTTAGTTATTTGTCGTCAAAGAAAAAAGCTTTCATGAGACAAGTCTAATGAAAGCTTTTAATGTTTGTTTCGGAGTTCGGGTGTTTTCTATGTATAATATGTATGTATTTACATAAGAAAAAGTATATAAGTATTCTATTAGTCAGTCCAGCTTTCATAACACAAGCTCTGCTTAGTTTTGAAACTAGATGGCGTTGTGTATTGGATGTCCGAAATTTAATAGGGGGCAGGCTAAGGAGCAGACTGATCACTTGATGGTAGGTAACTGCCCCTACCCATGGACATCTGCAACTCAAGAGACTAATGTGTAGCCGTTCTTTGACAGCTCCGCTCCTAGAACAGAGAGAGAGAGGTCTGGGCTCTGGTACTCGGTAAAAACCAACTAAAGAACTGCTTAACACCGGTTTTCTGTGAGGCCGCTGTATCATTTCGGACTTATAATCATCAACAGCCTTTAACAGTCCCCTGCTGAACATAGGCCTGTGCTTACAGAGGAGCTTTAGCCGGTCTATAATTAGCAAAACACCGTAAATAGTAACATTACGCAATCAGCAAGTATATAACGAAGTGACTCGACTGGTGGCTAGACGCGCACCACTGGGAAGTTCTCTGCCCGGGTTGTTAGTAATGTATCATCAGCGTAACAGATTGCGCCCAGCTTGATGGAGAAGCTCTTGAAGTGCCAGTTCCACAGGAGTTATCCAAGAACAGACCCCTATGGAACACTGCACGACATGGGCTGACGACTCAAGACTCCATTTTGTTCCTGGTTCTTGACGGTACGCTAACTAGTGTGCTGCTTTCCTAATTTTGGCGATGTCTTAGAAACGCCAAAAGCATGCCGCCACAGGCTGACTACCTCTTTGGTCACAGCTCTCAGGCGCAACACAGCCAAAGACCGAACAACCCGTTTGAAATCTGAATTGGGCGTCCGACAGATCAGGCCTACCTCGTGCCAGATGTACGAAGTCGGACGATGCTTACCCTCTTGCTTAAGAGGAGATCGCTCGCCGTAGGTCGTTCCGGCTTCTCGTTCTGCCAGTACTCAGGAAAGCGTCAGGCGACCTTCACACCTTCAAGAAAAGAGCGTAGTCCTATCTCAAAGGTCAGGAACGCACCAACTCTTGTAGATGTAAATATGCTGGCCATAGGAGGCGAAAGTTATTTACTATCCGGTGATTCTTTTCTCCGCTATGTCATAAAAAATCCAAAAGTAACAATACAATTATTTTTTTCAGAATACGCCAGCCATAAGATCCATATAGACGACATTTACGATGATCAAAATAGTTCGAGTATTTCGGGAAAGCAAGCAGGTAAGACAACTAGAGTAACGACATAAGTTACAATACGTCTACGATCCCTTAATGATTAATTGTTACGTCAACTCAATTATAATATAATGATTGCACGGATGACGTAGTGGTTAAGCGGTCGCCACGCCGCTTCCTATTACGCTGAGTGTTGTGGGTTTAATTCCCACATGGAACGACACTCTGTGTGATCCACAAATTGTTGTTCTTAGTCTGGGTATTCTTTGTATCCGTTTAATGTATGTTGAATGTCGGCGTCGTCATGTCGTTTCATGTATGTATGTCGAATATCAAATGTCATGAATTCTAAAATCGATTTAGTGTAAGTGTACCACTAAATCGATTTTAAAATTCTTTTCAGCAATGGAAAACTATGTGCTCGAGTATTTTGTCACTTGAGCATTTTTTAAATGTGTAAAACGCTTTGGTCCCTATTGCTTCTAATATACAACCAAAAATAATAATATAAATAAAATAACAACAATTTTTATTTCAGGTCTATACCTCCAAGGACACAAGGATGGGGAAAAGGCAAATAAGAAAAAAGGTTAACCAAATAAGGCCAAGTGGCCTATAATATTTTAAATGTGCTTGAGTATTTCGTCACTCGAGCACTTTTAAATGTTTGTGTGCGCGCTTTTATAGGTATATATATAAAACGTTTTTTATTTGTTCATTTCAGGTATTCTTCTTTATTAATACATTACATATAAAGGTTCATAATTCTGTCGGCGCTAATATAGAGTTACCGCTTGTCTAATAAAGATAAAAAGTTACGAATTAAGAAACCGACGTCGTAGGTACATCACCGCGCAAAAGAGCTGGTATCATTATTTTTATACTAGCTGACCCGCGCAACTTCGTCTGCGTCTTTCAATAGTAATAATTTTTTTCCGTTTTTGAAACATTCTTCATTGGTGCTCCGCTCCTATTGGTCTTAGCGTGATGATATATAGCCTATAGCCTTCCTCGATAAATGGGCTATCTAACACTGAAATAATTTTTCTAATCGGACCAGTAGTTCCTGAGATTAGCGCCTTCAAACAAACAAACAAACAAACTCTTCAGCTTTATATTAGTATAGATTCGACATCTGCATGTGTCAATTTGGTCTATGAGATTACAAAACAGGCTACAGTTGAATAAAATCCTATATTTTTGTTAAGGTGAACCATTATTAGAAGAAATAGCCCCAAATGTATTCCATCTGTTTTCTGAAGAGACTATCGCAGAACGCAAGAGTATCAGTTTTGTAACTAACCCCCTCCCAAAACAGGCACTTAATTTAAATTCATAATAGATTCTTATTTAGTTTTGATTGACCCAACTACCGTGGTCCATCCGTGTGGTGACGGATTAAGAATACGAAGTGTTACCACCCCTATTCATCCCGTGGGTGTCGTAAGAGCAGACTAAGGGAACGAACTACGCAGGACAACAGCACTGCAAAGAGAAGGAAAACTTGAAACAAACCCTATACCAACCTGTCTGGCCAGCTTGGTATAGTAGGCCAAAACCTCCTTTCTAAGGAGAGGCCTATATGCTATAGGCTGTTGATGATGATGATAATAATAATGTAGATGTATTAAGTCGCTAACTTTTTTTAAAGTTAGTATCATAAAATATGGCGTATTTTTTTTCCATCTACCGTCATCCAACAATAAAGTTGTTAGCCTTGCGATGAGGTCAGCAAATAAAAGATAGTAAAATAGAATATAAATTATAATAATAAGAGACACAATGACCGCGGAGCACGTTTAGTCAGCTAGTAGTTACGTCAGCAAGTTTTAGGGTAACGACACGTTGGAGTCCGGAGGACCCGATTCGGTTCGATCACGAACTGATTACTATAACGAGTGTAATTCTCGATGTATACGAATTTGCTGACGCAGCTGCTTGTACGGGCGTTGCACCCTTTTTTTTTTTGTTGACGGGGTTGAAAATCCCTTCGGATCTCCGGCTCCTTGGGGATGTAGGAGCCAGGAGTATGTGGTGTTTCCACTAAAAATCATCACATCCCGACTGCCGGAGTCAGGCGCCCTACTCAGAGGAGGACCCGGACCATGTTATTTCAGGTCCCCCTCGGCGTTGTACCCTACAATAATGTTTCCAAAAATGAGTTTTAATAAATTTACAGAGAACGCCGATGATTCTGGTAAGATTTTTACTGGAATATATACATTTAAAATGACTTGCCCTGACTGATCAACGCAGAGCCTAAACCAATGCGAAATACACTCTTGAGTAAAATTGTTTATTCATACTAATATTATACATAAATGCGAAAGTGTGTCTGTCTGTTATCTCTTCACGCTTAAACCGCTGAACCGATTTAGATGAAATTTGGTATAGAGATAGTCCGAGTCCCGGAAAAGGACATGGAGTAGTTTTTATTCCCGAAATCATCCTATAAGGAGGTGAAAGTAAGGGGGGGTGGCATTTCGTATAGGAAATCAATAACGTGTGCGTTACCCCAGCAAAATAATGTCGAAAATGGTCATTTAAATGTTATAGATAATTAGTTGCTCCCCTTCTGTAATTGTTAGGCACATTTTTAAATTTGTTTCACTTAAACTTTTTTAGTTATTTCAAAAAAACATTTCCTGCTGGGGTAACGTTTGGAACGTTACCGCAGCCAGACATTTTCTTTTTTAATTGTAATATTGAAATAAATTTTAGCTAAATAATTAGTTATCTGGACTAGGTAAATGTTACAACTTATTTGGTATTTGTATTTTCTTCGGCTGCGAAGTTATTCGAAATCCTGCTGGAGTAACGTTTGTGGGTTTGCTGGATCTCTGAAACGGGTAAGCGGATTGTAACCATCTTTTGTACATAACTTCTTAAGGATTAGTTTTAATTTGTTCGACAATAAAATAACAAAATAATGGACCGTTTAAAAATTATTTAGGTAAGTATGAAAACACTTCAATACGTCCTAACACATTAAATAAGACCTCTAAAGACTTACTTGAAACGTTATTCTATTGCTTCTTCAAATGTATACGAATTTTCGTAAGAATACTGTAAGTGACTAAAAAGTTATGATGAAATGTAGCTCTCCACGTTCACGATCATAATGTGTGCGGCCTTTTTTGGCCACCGATAAACCTGTGTGTGGATATATAAACTGAATGTTACGCCAATAATTATTTGTTTAGTTCAGTTGTCTACCTGTAGAATTTCAGCGTAGTACATATAATAATTTACGAGATAAGTAAATAAAAGTCATTAGAAGGTGCAAGTCCGTGGTAATCCGACCATGTTTAGGTGGTTACAAAAAAGCGATCACCCAGTACATTGCGCTGTCTTTTAAAATGTTTAGTGTAATACACCTTACGATTTCGGTACAGTTGCGTACAGTGTTAAATACATTCAATATTTATTAATTATTATTACCTATTATTTATTTTGTTTTTTTTCCCTAACTGATCTTAAGCACTAGTTTCTTTACTTAAAATTTCTTTAGTCTTTTTTACTACCGGAGCTACAATCAACAGAAAATCTGCTCTGGTCCGCTAAAATTATAAATATGTAGATACATGTATGAACGATTCACCTGACTGCAGTAAATCGAAAAATTTAAACCAATAAGAATTTTTTTTTGCAAAGAAATAACACTAAAGTAATTGTATTGGGGTGTATAGAGCTTAGACTTGAATGCATCAAAATATATTAAAGCAACAAGTCATCTACAATAAGTTAAAATAGACCGAATAGTAGAAGAATAGTTGTAAATTAGAATGCATCAACATTGCATCGCCCAACAGTCGTATACCTCGTAAGAGTAGGTAATATTGTTCTGTGGTCTATACCGAGAACCGAGAATTATCTATACCTATGTACCTACCGTTAAGCGTTGAGCCCGTGACTGTTGATTTCTGTTAAAACGAACAGTTGTTGAATGATATTTTTAATATAATAACGGTAATTTAATTTATCGGGTGAAAGTGATACATTTTTATAGATAAAATTATTGGTCAGATAATATTTGTCAATCAAGAATCGCTGATAATACATCCTTCGCTAGAACGCGGGAGGGGAGGGGCGAAGGGATACTTCATTGTTTGCAATTTGCATCTAGTGCACTAAAACTTGACCCTTAGGCAGATAATATACGTGTTGTAAAGTACGTGTGCGCTTCCGCTTTCTATTTTTGCAAATATTTATCGTATTCTTGAGAGTTCTTCAATATGTGTGTACCTAATTACTAATAATGGGCATTAATGCTAATTCGATTCAATTTAAGTAATTGTCAATTCTTATCTTAGGATATTAATTACTAATGCTAATATTGAAATTTCGTTCAGGGTGAACAAATTAAAAACGATCATAACTTGTAGGTAGGTATATCACTTATTACTAAGTTTACATAAATAATTTATTTTATTATAATTTAACTCACCGCGATTTTGTGATCAAATATTTTATTTTCTCCAACATTATTACAGAAATAATGCAATACAGAGTTTGTTCGCGATATGCTAGCCTAAGTCGATTCATCACTTTAAAAAATCCCCATCTACTCACAAAATACCTATTTACAACGCATACGTTACACTCTTCAAAACTTAAATTACCTATACCTACCCTAAAATTAAACTTCAATTAACAAATACTACGCAGGTACCAATTCTATGAACAACTATAAACAATTCACCTAAACATTACGAGAAAACAAAAGCATTCAAAACAATACCTAATCTCCCGGCTGATTACTAATTATGCAATAAACAATCCTAAATAATTTTTTTTTTAAAAACATGTAGTTTTATGTAACACTTATGTACATATCCGTAGTAAACTTGCAAATAATATCCTACATATTTTAAAAGCCAGCACAATGTACTGGGTGATCGCTTTTTTGTAACCACCAAACATGGTCGGGTTACCACGGTCTTGCACCTTCTAATGACTTTTATTTAATTATCTCGTAAATTATTATATGTACTACGCTGAAATTTTACAGGTAGACAACTGAACTAAACAACTAATTATTGGCATAACATTGTTTATATTTCCACACACAGGTTTATCGGTGGCCAAAAAAAGGCCGCACACATTGTGATCGTGAACGTGGAGAGCTACATTTCATCATAACTTTTTAGTCACTTACAGTATTCTTACAAAAATTCGTATACATTTGAAGATAGTTACAAGCAATAGAATAACGTTTCAAGTAAGTCTTTAGAGGTCTTATTTTAAGTGTTAGGACGTATTGAAGTGTTTTCATACTTACCTAAATAATTTTTAAACGGTCCATTATTTTTGTTATTTTATTGTCGAACAAATTAAAACTAATCCTTAAGAAGTTATGTACAAAGGATGGTTACAATCCGCTTACCCGTTTCAGAGATCCAGCAAACCCACAAACGTTACTCCAGCAGGATTTCGAATAACTTCGCAGCCGAAGAAAATACAAATACCAAATAAGTTGTAACATTTACCTAGTCCAGATAACTAATTATTTAGCTAAAATTTATTTCAATATTACAATTAAAAAAGAAAATGTCTGGCTGCGGTAACGTTTCAAACGTTACCCCAGCAGGAAATGTTTTGTTGAAATAACTAAAAAAGTTTAAGTGAAACAAATTTAAAAATGTGCCTAACAATTACAGAAGGGGAGCAACTAATTATCTATAAAGTTTAAATGACCATTTTCGACATTATTTTGCTGGGGTAACGCACACATCAATAACCGCTCAAACGATTTCGATGAAATTTGGTATAGACATACTTTGATTCTTGAGGAAAAACATTTTACCGCGATAACCGATATTTACGCGGGCGAAACCGCGAGTAAAAGCTAGTCCGTTAAAAAGTAGGGACCTTTAGGTATATGAACGATTTTGACAAGAACATAAGAGTTGTATGTCAGACCGATAAATACCGTCAACTTGTCATTTGAGGACAATACTGCTGCTCGAACGGGGGCGAAAGTAAGTAGATAAAACAACATGCAAGATTTGTGACAAGTCCAATGTCCCATCGTCTGCAATACTTCAAAATCGTACCTGATATCACAATTAAAATTCGTTGTTTGTTTATTTATTTATGTACTAAGGACAACCAGAAGGCCAATTCTTGTAATAAAAGTTCGGTCTCAATTCAGTTCCCATGAACTCTCGATCTTAAAGCAAAAGGTATTTTTGTGGTAAAGTATTAAACATCCAACGATTTGATTATATTGCATTGTGATCTGCCAATCTTAGTAATACTTTACTATGTTCCTACGAAAATATCTTTTATGGCAGTTTGCGAGATCCAGAGTTGATCAGAACTGAATTGAGACCGAACTTTTATTACAAGAATTGGTTTTCTGTTGCTGTTACATTCAATCCTAAGTTAAGTTTACATGCTTGGCAAGTCTCGGCAAGTGTCCACAAACACAAGCGTGTGAACGGGGTGTAAAGCTCGGCTAACGTGAGTTTGTCACCGATCCGGGATAGTGTCGGTTTTTGAACGCAGATCAAAGAAAGCTTGCGGCAAGGGCTTGCAACGTATCTACATGTTGGCGCGTGTTTAGTGTTGCTGTTTATATTTTGAATAAAAATATGTCAAGCCAAACGCAATAGCTGCCACAACTTTAACGTCCACGTCTGCTATGTTTGCTTGTCCGGAACACACTAACACACTCGAAACGTTTGGACTGGCTGGAGTTTGTGGACGTTTGCCATGCCTTGGCAAGCGTGTAAACGTAGCATTATGCATATGAAACAATAAATTTACTAAAAACTAGCTTAAATGCACAGCATGTAAAGGTGTCACAACATGCAACAATATTAACACGAGAAAAAAAAAATAACAAAACGGCGTGCGGTGTCTATGGACCCCCCGGTCGGTACGAAGTTCCTTTCGCTTCTTGGTAGACGTTTGCTCTACAGTCTTTGTAATTTATATTATAAAATATCAAATTAATAGTTAAATTGAAAAATATATGAATAAATATAAATTATGATAAATTAAACACTGAATGGTCTGGGATACTTAAATTAATAAAAATTTACGAACTACGAACGAAAGTTAATTTTATTAATTATGCTTTTTAAATTTTAGAAAAAACATTATTTATTTACTATAAAAATATAAACTATAGCAATAAGTGTCGGAAAAAAGGTCTTGTTACACATTTTTTGGGTCCCGCTCCCATCCGCTCAGAGCGTGTAACACCCGATAAGGAACTTCGTTTCAATAAATAAATAAATTTGCGACAAATGCAAATCTCGCTTTATTCCAGAGTCAGCCGTCAAATGGTTCTAACAGCTAAGCCTAAAACAATTCACACGTTCCGTCCCTTTCCATCAAATCACTACCATAATAATTGTTTTTCAGGCCGGCGGGTTAACAGGCAAACTGAAAAAGGAAAAAAACAATCGAATAACTATGAGAGCGTCTCGTGTTTCGGAAATCCGTAAACTAAAGGATTTATGCAAAGGTACATACTTCATCCATCTCCGGAATTCATCATCATCATCGTCAACAGCGTTTAATAGTCCACTGCTGGACATAGGCCTATCCTTAGAGAGGTTTTACCCTATTATACCACCCAGGCTATACAGGTTGGTACTTATAGCGTTTATGTCAACATTTCTTTGCATTGCACTGCGTTTGTACACCGTAGATTGCTTCCTTAGTCAACTCTTACGACACTTACAGGATGAAAAGGGGTGGTGACATTTCGTATTCGTAATCCGTCACCACATAAACAGTTCAATTTTTGTAGACATAATAACAACGTTTAAGAAAACCTTTATAAGTTATTTGCTGGATAGTTACAATTTTAAATATTAACCAGAGTTTTTTTGGGTGAAGTTAGGTTACCGTTTGCGGGGGTCCAGAAGGAGATAACTACCTGGACCCCCCTAAAATAGAAGCGCAAAGATGGCACACCGTGTGGTTTTAGTCGCTTCGTGTCCGACACACCACCCCGCTGAATAGAGAACCCCGGCGGGGTGACGGTCCGAGGGGATTTCCACACGTAAAAAAAAAAAAACAAAAAAAGGACACCGTTTGCTACAGTGACCATTTGCTATTCATCATCACCAGTATCAACAATTTTTTAATAGTCCAATTCTGGAAATAAGCCCTGTCCTTTGAAGGGAGGTTTTGGCCTACTATACACGCTGGCCAGACGGTTGGTATTCTCTTTGTAGTGCTGTTCTGCTTTAAATATCTTTTAACATTTGGTTCCAGACATCGAGTTGGTCTCACGACTCCCATGTATTCTATCAGTTCCTTTTATTGATAGTAACGGAGTGACGTCACGCGGAAGAGTGTATAACCAAAACGCAAAACGACGTTATATCAAGTGCAAGTCTCTAGACCTTTTGGGCAAATCTGGTAAGTTTACGAACTGTGTAATTTGTAAGTATAAATGATTTGATTTGGCTCGTGGTTTAGTGGGACCGAGTAGGTTAGCAAATTGCAAAGTTAAGCAATCATAGCTAAGCCAGTCTATGGATTGGTGACAATTGAGATCCCTTCGTACTTCGGAGAGCACGTTAAGCCATCGGTCACGGTATATGAACATCTGTGGCAATAGTTACAGGAAGTTGGAGCCCTAAATAATCCAAGAACCGTCTTTTTTACAGGAATATTTATTAATTCGATTTTGAGACCGTTAAAACTTTTCAAAAATATTTCGTAAGAGGCTGATATTAATAAAATTATAATGCCTCGTCCGCACAGCGATATTTTACCACATGTTTTTTATTCGCAAAATTCTGTGGAAATGAATCGCCACCGCATCGCGTTCATTTTGTATCAAATCAAAGTTTTTTTTCTAGATTAGTCCTATATAGATCCCATGTGTCACAGAATTTTGCGAAAAAAATTACCTATTTGACGTATTTACGTATTTTACCTATTATATCATTAAATTACAGCCTCTTACGAAATAGTTTTGAAAAGTTTTTAACGGTCAACTTCAAACCATCAGTCTCAAAATCGAATTAATAAATATTTTAAAACTGTCAAGTACATTTTTTTGAGGGGTTCATAAAGTGGTTTATTGAAAACCCTCAGAGTTATCATCATTCATAAATATTTAATTCTTTTCTTACAGATCCTAGATGTCCATTCTAAGCCAAACTTCAGAACTACTCCCGCTATCTAGTAGAAAGTTTTTAGAAACTCTCGGATACTCTTCTATAGTGCTAATAAAACAAAACATTTTTATTCAATCGATAAGTGCCATTTACATTTTCAAATTTCGAGGGTGATTTGAGGGAAAACGCTGGAAGCAGTGGATGGACATATTTATTGCTCCGTGGTCATGACGTCAGTTAGCTGTGTAACCAAATGCGATCAGTTGACAGTTGACCCTAATGGTTTTAAACCCCCCTCCCCCTCCAGCCTGTAAATTTGAGATATATAAAAAAAATAACAATCGACGTATCTTAAATAGCAGTTTCCAAAATTATTTGTTATTAAAACAGCACCGAGTAAAAAATAAATAAAGATACTACTACTTTTATATCTCAAATTTACAGCTGGGGTGGGCGGGGGTTGGTTTTAAGTGTGCACAGATGTATGACGTGTGACCATGGTGGCTACTACTTGTGGAGTAGCCACCATGGGATTGTAAAAAACAGATTAAAAAACTGAAAACTTTTAGTTGATTTTTTGAAATTTATTTGTTATTTTATGAACTGAAACTAACAATTTTAGGTTTTTTTTGTTAAATGGATAACATATTTTTTTGACTTTTCCCATAGAGAATATCATGCAAAATTAAAAAAAAAACCGACACAAAAATAAAACAGTGTAAAGTCCAAACATGGTATACATGCTGTAATTTTCTAAGGAGTTGGCTATCCTGCAGACTACTTGATGCAGCAGCAAGCTCCAGGTTACCATGTATCATATCATATCATATCACCAATACTATCCAAGTAACAGTATACCAAATTTTCAGATCAATCGGACCTGTGGATTTCAGTGAGATCCCTTCATCACCTTACGAAGTGAGCTAATGATCTTCAAAATTTAAAACCATCTCGATTACATCGGCTTTCGAACAAAACAATCCGAATAAAAATTGCTCCGTCCGTTAGGGAGTTATGATACCACAGACAGACAGACAGATAGATAGATAGAAAACTCTTTGTTTCTACACCATTTTTACAAAAGTCATATCATAAAATAATAATTAATATATAACTTGACATATTTTAAACACGGCAGTCTGATTCCAAACTAGGCAACCAGACCTGTCCTATCGTAACCAGACTGCTGATGAATATACTGATGTATATACTTCTACATACATACATATTATAGATAAATTACACGCAGGTACAGAACAAATATAATCGTGTTCATCACACAATACTTGTCCTGGGTGGGAATCGAGAACCACGACGTCCGGCTTAGCAGTCAGGGTCACTAACCACTTAGACCAACAGGCCCCCCCTCCACCCGGGTACACAGGATAAACTATAATACGACTCGATTTCCGTCGGGGGTTAAAAATACCCCTATTTACACGCTTTATATTAGCTTCACTTGTATGTTTGTTTGTAACCGACTCCTTTGGGCGTGATTTTGACTGACTTTTTTCATTTTCTTGCATTTTCTTGTTGTAAAGTAATCTATAACTTTGTTACTAGTTTATTGATATGATTTTCTGTGTAAGAGGAGAAATAAAATATTATTATTATTATTATTATTACTTTAAACGGTCAGAATTCGTTCAAACTTTGTAGATATATCGAGGACCGATGATAATACACTAATTTAAAAAAAAAAAGAAAAAAAATAGTTTTAAAAAAACTGGGGCGCTTTTTACTATTGACAACAGGCACCAACGCTTTTTTTTTCTATTGAAATTTATTTTCTATTTTTTTAGTTTGGTTTTCTATAAAAAGCGTGTTTTTAAAACTATTATTGTTTTTAATATTTTTTATAAATTATATTCAGTCTCCTTGTAAATCCAAGATGGCCGCCACCACAAAATGGCGGATATATTTTATTATATTAAAGTCGGTGAAACGTTTTTAAACGTTAATTATTATCATAAGCTAATGGTAGTCACATTTATGATGTGTAAATGTGAAATTGGTTCTTTACAAATAAAGTATTTTTTTTATATCTCACCTATCATCCAACGACCAACTCTAGCAACGTAATACGTACATTCAATACTCCTGTGTTACGTACGCACTAAGTGATCTTTGGTCAAGTCACTTTCTCGGCTCCCTGTTACACTATTCCACTCTTTTCCACGAAATTACTCGTCCTAATAAGCGAGAATTGAAAAAAGATGGCAAAATATGGGTATTTGTTACGCCTCTTGCTAAGACCTTTTACAGTGAGTTATGTTATGTATTGTAATAGCTATGAAGTTACAAAAATTACTTGTTTTCAATAGAAGTTTAAGTCACCAGTTCCAGAGTCTTCATTAGCCAATGAATGACTAAAGTCGTCATTGACGTAAGCCATTGACTAAAAAAAGGCTATTGTATCCTAATGTGTCCAAATTATTTATTACCCACCCTATTTATCTTGCGTATCAATCTGTATGAACTGAGAAATCTAGAAGTGATAGTTTATTAGGTCAAGTGCCAAAACAGTGATATGAAGTGATTGTGAAAGTTAATTCTGGCAATACTGGATAATTGCCAGGGTGTCTGATGTGCCATGATTGAGCTGACATTCCCGACAATTAGGCATGGGACTAAATCACAGTGAACTGTGAAAGACCGGTGATTTATCATTCGATTTTTCTCACATAGGTTATGGGCTACTTCTTACTCACGCGTTGTTGCCAATTATCTGTTTTCAGACGATGCATAAAAACCCTATTTCACCTATTTAACTGTAAATCTAGTAATTATTTTATTTTATATAGCAACTATTCCCTACATAATAATAAAAAATACTAGATTTACTGTTAAAATAGCCTCTAACCTACCTACCTAGCAACCCTAACCTACGTAAATTCGAATGATAAATCACAGTTCACTGTGATTTTGTCCCATGTCTAGTGACAATGCCAAATTACAATTGCCATTGCCAAACGGATGGTGGGAGATACAATGAAGATCACAAAATATTATTAAATTATTATTATTGACTGTTTGTGTAATACAAACATACTAAATTAATCATCATTAGGTAAACTTTGTAAGTATACTCGTATTTAGTGTGATGTGTGTAACTTATCAATATTAATGTCTAACCTATATTGTTTATATTGTCTATGAGTTATACAAGTTTTTGCTAAGAATTAAATTGTCAGCAAATGCAGCAAGGCGCTATCGTGAAAAGACGAAACGTGTAAAAAAAAAGACCATAATTTTGTTAGTCTCATTTATTTTATATTATTGATCCTTGCTATGAGTATATATTGCTATTTACTACACGTATCAATTTTTTTTTTAGTTTTAAATGAAAAAGTAATTTCTTCACAGAACAACAGTGATGAGCCTGGCTGTAATAATCTCTGATTATACCTATAGTATTTGATACGGAATTATTAAAAAAAAAAATAACGTAAATAGTACAGAGTATATTTATTTACACTAATATCAAGAATGGAAAAAACTGTGGATGTGTAGAATTTGTCTGGTAGAAGACGTTTCAAATGCATTTAATCTCTGAAACACATCTTCAAACTATATATGAAGCATTGACATGTAAACCAGTAAGTACCAAGAATAATTTTTTAAATTGATCTCTCCTCACTTCTCCGTTTCATTGATATCATCATCAGCCTTTAATAGTCCACTGCTGGACATGGGCCACTCTTCAGAAGGAGGTTTTGGCCTACTATACAACGCTGGCCAGATGGGTTAGCATTTATAGGTTTTGTTTCAAGTTTTCCTTCCCTTTGGTGCATAGTTGGCTCTTACGATACCCACAGCACTTCTTAATACATCACCACACATTTATATAGATTGTGTCAATAAATCTTATTAGTGAAGACATTTAATATTTGCCTAGACAAAAGGTATCTAATGCCCTTTTTTCAGTAACCTCAGGTGGTTTGTTATGATCAGAGAGTAGTTATTCTTAAATAGTAGTAGTTATTATTAAATGTCTGATAGACATTTCACATCAGACAGACATGTTTTTTATCCTAATACCTTTATTTGACCACTTAATTATTAACCGACTTCAAAAAAGGAGGAGGTTCTATGTTCCACTGTATGTATTTTTTTTTTTGTTATATTTTCCTGATGTTTGATCTGATTGTTATTAACTTATGTATTGCATGTTCTGTAGGTATCAGCTTCTGATGTAGTACCTACGCGACTGCGGTCCATGAGGACTGGGGTTTGATTCCCCACCAGGCAAAATTATATAGGGTTTTTGTGAGGAAAGTGCAAAGTGCACTTTTCTCACAAAAACCCTAAAAAACCAACTCTTTATATAGATAGCTATCTGGTAGTAAAATATTATCAAAATCGGTCCAGCCGTTTTGAAGCTTACCCCGAACAAACAGACAGACAGACTGAAATATTTAAAACTAAGTTTTTAGGCAAATAACCGTGTGCGCATGAAAATAACCTATTTTTTTCTATATTACAAACAGACACTTCAGTTTTATTTATTTGTATAGATCAAAACTAATGTAATAAAACCAAATATTATATAATAACTAAATCTATATGTATAAAAGAAAGTCGTGTTAGTTACACTATTTATAACTCAAGAACGGCTTTACCGATATGGCTGAAAATTGGTGAGGAGGTAGCTTAGAGCCAGGAGACGGACATAGGATACTATTTATTTCTTTTTTTTTTTTGTATATCGGCGTCGATCACCAGATGACAACGGTGGAACTGTCACAACAAAAGTGAAAAGAATGGATTTCGTTGTCAATAACAATTAGATTGTTCCATATTCGCAACTTATTTCTAAAACGTTAAAGACACTCAAGAACGGCTTTACTGATATGGCTGAAAATTGGTGAGGAGGTAGCTTCAAGAACGGCTTTACCGATATGGCTGAAAATTGGTGAGGAGGTAGCTTAGAGCCAGGTGACGGACATAGGATACTATTTATTCCTTTTTTTGTTTTTGTATATCGGCGTCGATCACCAGATGACAACGGTGGAACTGTCACAACAAAAGTGAAAA